ACAGATGAAAAAAGAATAAAATTTTATGTAGTATAAAGAATATCAAATTGGGCGTTTACCACTTGTCTTTTGTCAGGGCCGAATCTGTATTGAACACTGAGGCTTTTCCAAGCTATAGCTACATTTTTTTGAAAAATCTGTGTAAAGTTCACAAATAAAAATGAATAAAATATTAGAGACTACATTCACAGATTTAACAGACTGCTGACAGCTTGACGACAGCGACGTGGAAATATTTTCGTATAGTTTTATCTTAGCCTTGATTGACGTTCCTTAAATTAATCCTGATTCGTGCGTATTGACGTTTGAAAGTCCATGCTAATGGAAGGCGTGAGCTTTTTTGCGTCTAATCTGGCCCGTTGCATTTGCCACGGTTTGTTTTCAGAGTGCCGTGGCGTGTCTCTGTCACCGGTTGGCCAGTAATTATTCACGAAGGCTTCACGGACTTTACGTGGAAAAAGTCATCGGTATCGCGATCGTGCTCTACTCTATTACCCTTATCCAATATCCGAATAATTCGAATCGAAATGTTTTCTGGTCGAAGCACTTTTTGGATTTTGGTTAATTTTTAAACGTAGGGCTTTGTGGTCACGATATTCCAGACAGTGAAGTCACCATTAAAGAATGATATGATTTAAAATATAATTAATAGAATCAGGCGTTTTTTGATTCTATTTGCGGAAGTCCATTGACGGCATTCAAACGATGTCCTGTTTTTCTTCGATATGCCCGAAGTCCTAAGTCTTCATTTAACACCCTTTTCACCGTGGTTCTGCTTAACCCCATCTGAAAGGCCAACAGTTTCTGCTTACGTTTGGGATTTCTTTGAATTCGCGCCTTCACAGCTTTTATCACTGCTGGAGTCCTAACAGACCGAGGGCGACCACTTCTTGACCTGTCATCTACACTAAAGTCTTCATTGTATCGTTTGATGGTACGATAAACGAATCTTTTGGTTATATTCAAATTTTTCAGTATGATAAAAATTAGAATTGGCGCGTAACCGCAACGATGCAACGCAATAACTGCAACACGGTCTTCTTTAAGCGTCCACTCCATATTTAAAATAGAGTAAAATTCTAAAAAGTATACAGTTTTATTTTCATAAACAATTCGAAATTCGAATTCAATAAACATTTTTGTGGCCAGCATTCTAAAAGAAAAGTTTTTACTGAGTGACAATACTTATGACCTGACTAGGTATTTTATCGAGCGGATGTACGCAAAGTAATTTTTTGTCAACTTTGATTTAAAATATGTTGAATTTATACACTACATTACATAGACAGATCCACATATGTAGCTCCAAACAGAACTCTCTCGTCTATTTTAGATTTCTGTATTATACGTAGTATGCAGTGCTTATATAGTACAGATTATCATGATTGTATTAATATTAAGTTTGTAACCGATATTTTCCTAGTAGTGGCTGCGTAAGAGAATCCACTACCCCATATCATCCCGTCGGTATCGTGTCCAGAGAGAGAGAGAGAGAGAGAAACTGGAACTAGCGTAGGGCAATAGTGTCTTCCTAAAAACAATAAATAAATAATAAAAAACTGCGATTGTCAACCCGCTCGCCAAACATGGCAACTATAGGAAGTATCCACCGATCTATACTCAGACCTATGATCAGCTTGATGAGCTGTAACGGTGGACGTTTTAGCAAGACTGCTTCTGGTAACAAAACACGAATAACTCAAACCTAGTTCAAGAATAATATTCTGTACTTTATATAAGATAAAATTGAACCTCGTTCAGAACAATTCTGAACCCGTCGGTTTTCAAATTGTGGTAAATGCTAAAGACCATGTCCTCTTAAAAAGCTACTTCGACATTCAGCCTCTCAGATCTTTAGATATAGCAATGGCTGTATTCCCCATCTAGATTGTGCATTAATCTATAGATTCGTAGGATTAAAATTGTTTCACGTAAGTTTTTACTATCATTACACTGTTTTATTAAAATTGTATGTGTTTTAATGTGTAACAGAAGAGATACCGAAGTAGATATTGTACATCCAAACGTCTAACCAAATATCCAATTCAACTCTCCAAATCTCATTACGCCTCAAGTTTTATTTTACACTCAGTCATTCAATAGCTGATTAGTTCCTGCTATAGAGTACACAAACAATCACTGACACAATTTGAAGCGCAGTGTGCATGCTTCCACCCAATATCCGTATCCTATTATTTATGGCTGCCCGATCGGGGCACTCTCAAAAACATACAAAACTGAACGACTCGAGCAATTTGTCACGGGGGTCACAATGCCTGGTATTGTTTCAGCCAGTTGGCTCTTAATGCTCGCTTTCATTGTAGCAGAAAACTAGCCCGTATACTGGTAAAAAGTTTTACGGTCGATGCATATTAGCGCGACTTGAATAAAACGACATAGTACATATATATATAATTATTGAAATTGCTATGCTTTGTAATTACTTTTCTTCGATTTAATTCACATGAAATAATGTATAAAAAAATGACTTTATGCATATACTTGTACTTGTATATTAACTTATAGCATTTGAAATTATATTATAATTAGATGTGGAAATTTGAGTTAAAACTATTTACGACCTACTTAAATCCTACGCCTGGCACATGTATCCTTTCATTTCGAGAATGTTTTAGAGTGGGAAAAGTCCTTCGCTGAGCAGTGCGCATTGGCGGACTTGAATATTCTTGAAATATTTTTTAAGTCATGCAGGTAAATCGTAATTAAAGTTTCAAATAATAATGTCAAAGATGGCAGTGGGTATCGAACTCGGATAACTCGTATTATGAAATTTAAAGTGGCCCAAAGCTATTACAGCTCAAAGTACTAATATGTTTTTAATTTGCTCGTTGAACCTGCTGTTTGCACATAACATATCAGTGTTAGTGTCGCGGCCAAATTTAATTGAAAAATATTTGTATTTAAAGTGTTAATTAAGCGTAGCACCGCTCCGTGCTTGACTCTATAGCTTACTACGGGGCAGTTTTTTTTGTTCACGCGGTCTAAATTACAGTTTTTATTGCTATTTATTCGATATTTTAAGGTATATAATTTGTTATAGTTCGGAAACCTCGAGTCGTGTTTCACGTTCTCATTAACCGGTTGACTAGTTGTGCTAATTTTTTCGTGAAATATCACAAGCGGTAAATTTCATGGTTCTGGATTTTTATGCCGTAATAGGAGACGATCTTGTGAATTGTAAGATTGTAAACCGAATTTGATATAATTTACCGGTAAAGAAATTATATTGGCGTTTAGAGCGAGCAAATTTTGTGTCAGATCGATTATCCTTCACAAATAATGTATGAAATTTTATTTTATATTGGATTGGTTAGGATTTTAGGAGTCATCTTATAATTTTAACGGGAAAAACAACAAGCATTTGTACTTTAGAGCGATCGTAAATTAAAAAAAATTAAGTAAGTAAACATACATAAGTATTTTATAAAAACAATACTTAAATTCCATATTCAAAGAAAATCTATTAAAATGGAATTGTACAGAGTTAAACTTAAATTAAGTACTCAGTAATGACGACTATCATAATTAAATCACAAATATCTATCAATTTTTAGCGTATAGTATGTATTCATATATTTTTTGCTAAAACCTACTATGGAAGATAAAATTTTAGTAAATACATATACGAACTTCTTCTATGTTTATGGAGGCGTTTTACATACATTATATGAACATTGATAATTACTTAGAACGCAACAACAATGTGTAGACAAAATAAATATAATCGAATCCGCAGAACGTAATGTTATACATAAAGCATGGTAGTTCCGCTACCGCATCCTCAGACGTTTAATTAAAATAATGTTATAAATAATCCGATATATTATGGTTTTCATATTCTTTTTGAGAAACAGTAGGATTTTCTACTTTAAACTAGGTTTTTTTTTCTCGTGGAGGTCGTTTACATACTTTAATTTGACAAGGAGAAACATCAAGGACCCGGGACAATTATATATCGGGCAAAAAATTATGTACAATATGTTACTTGCGGGATTCGAACACGCGGCGCTCGGCGATGCAACTCAATGCTTAGCCTTTTTGTTATTTTGTATGTAGTCGATTCTACCATAGGTACTAAATAAACTGTTTCTAAAAACGAACTATTTCACCCTAGGACAATATCGAGAATTAAACATTGGGGTCGTAACTCTTAAAAATCGATGTCAATTTAAGAAAAGTTAACTTTTGATTAAATGATAATAGAAAAAGGTAATGATAAATAATATTTAATTTAAGTAAGCGATAGTTCCTGACTGCCTCCTTGGTCTAGTGGTTGTAGTAGTGCGACTGTTGATCATGAGGTCCCGGGTTCGATTCCCGGGTCGAGTAAAAAAAGTCAGTTATTGAGCTTTTCCATAAAGAAATTCTCAGTACCTGCCCGGAGTAAGGAATTTGGCCGTGTATCAACCCCTTGCCTCGGAAAGCACGTAACGCCGTTGGTCCTGCGCCTGATCTGTTTCCAATCGTGTCGGTTTACCGTCCCATCGGACTATGAGAGTGAGGGTATAGAGAGTACACCTGTGCTTGCGCATACACTTGGGCACTACAATCCTGTCCCGCACCGACGGCTAGTCTCCGTTGAGGCTGGCCGCCGTGACTGAAATTCGGTCTGGAGAACATTAGTCACATTCTACGAGTATATACGTCCCACGACTGGTTTTAGGACAAGGAAATCTCCACCGCGATGCTCTAATTCTTACTGGCGGTCTTCACATGTTTTTGAAATATATTTTCTTTTAATTTGTCAGACATGCAGTTATGCTCACGATGTTTCCTTCCACCGCCTAGCACGTGGCAAATCAGTACTTAAAATTGCAATTATAAACTTCATTGGTGCGGGCGGGGATCGAACTCGGGTTGTTTGCGTTCTGTGAAATTTACAACGAGCGCGCGATTTATGTAATCGTAAGTAAGCGATAATCAACGATTATAAGAACAGCTGTTTTTAAATTATGTTATAACAATGTGTTTGTCCATAGTGCGAGCGAAGGACGCCGCAGCAGTCAAGCGGCAGTCCGGGGCTGGGCACGCACATGCTAGCCATGGACGTGACCAAAGAGTCCCGAGCTTCTCCGCTGCCGGCAAGCTCGCAGGCTTCCGGTACAACCTCTTCGCAACAACCGCCGCAGCCACAGGTTAAACTCATTATATTCTTTTTCTCTTAGACGTAGTGTGACAAAAATGCGGTTTCTATAACTTATCTATACATATTTTCGGTAATGGTTACATCTAAGACGTACCAATTATTTCGCTGTAGAATCAACTGACTTCAATTAATAAGTCTCGTTGTAATATTTATTACAACAAGCACTTCATATGTTCTTGAAATACAGTTTTGTCTTCGGATATGCAGATTTTTTGTTTCTTTATCAATGGTAAAACACCACATAAAATTGCAGCTTATATATTTTTGTACCGGCGAGGTTTAAACCCAGGTTGCTCACGTACTATGAAATTTTAGGCGAGCGTTTATTCCCTGAGCACCACACACAGCTCTCGGATATTAAATAGTAATTAAAATGTTTAAGTTACGCATTAAACGGAGTAACGGGAAAAATCTATTTTCCCCACTAGTACTCGGTGCACTCTGCTGATCGACTCTAGCGACCGTCTTCGCAATCCGCACAAAAATGCCGATACCTAAGTTACATATACTGATGAATACAAACAAGTAATACTTATCCATTTTTCTGGTGCGCTCACCACCAAAATACTTTAAGATATGATAAGATATGTTGTTTGCAGAAAAGTTCTGTTAAAATAGTTGACTTAAAAAGGCATGAGTAGTGCTATAAGGCGGCGATGATGATGACTTCTGACTGATTTTGATCATTTCGGGTCTTGAACTACTTCAAGGGTACCACATAGTACAGAAAATTCGCACGCAGTCAGAGGGACTCAATGTTCTCACATTTTGTATTCTTTCGAAATCCAGTAGCTATGATAATGAATATCTTACAATTTAAGAAGTACACGGATATTTTAAGAGACGAGAATATATTCAATGATGATTTCCTTCTAACTATCGTAACTTCATCGATGCGGGACTTCATATAGACTTACTAATAGATTGCAAATATAAACTAAGCGTGTTGTTAATTTCTAACAGATATGTGCGGGGTGCAGTAAGGTGATCACCGAGCGTTACCTACTCAAGGCTTTAGACCAGTTGTGGCACGAGGACTGCCTCAAGTGCGGCTGCTGTGACTGCCGCTTGGGCGAGGTCGGCCACACGTTGTATACGCGCGCCAACCTCATTCTGTGTAAGAGGGACTATTTGAGGTATGAAATCACTCACTTAATTTACGCCTAGAATTTTTTTTACAGATATTTGTTTATTCTTTAAGGAAGCGTAAAATCTAGATATGATTTTTGTATAATCGTGATAAACTCGTATTATTTACTGATGGGCATAGTAATATATATACCGCTTCACATTTGGATAGATCAGTTTTACGATGTAAGTTTCCTCTGCTATCGAGTATGGGTCTGTGAGTATTCTAAAACGTGCGAGATCTGGTTGGTAGGAAGGCGGATGGCTGTCGAAATATTAAACGCTTTTTATCTTAGCAACGCTACTTACTGGCTTGGGTGTTTTGGAAGTCCTGGCATCTAATGATGACCACGAAATGTTCGAAGTTTTAAGTGGCCAATAATTAAAAACATATTTAATCTTATAAATGCCAGAATTCTTTATAAAAAAGTTTTTTTCAGATGTAAAATTTTTGTTCTATTATGTTTTGTTTTTTATAGAATAAGGGTGACAAACGAGCACACATTTCACCCGATGGTAAGTGGATGTTGTGGCCCAAAGACATCTACATCTATTTTCGATTAAGAATGAAAATGCAGATGCGTTGCCACCCCTGAGGATTAAGTTGGAATGCCTCATTTCCAGTAAAAAAGGTCTCCGGTTGTTTACAGTCACCATATGAAACACAGCAGCATTGAGCTACAATTTTACGCTGGTATTCGGTGAGAACGTGGTCCTCCTCTGGTAGAATCGACCTATTGGTGCTGCAACCATAATATAGTTGCAGCGTAGCTCTACCACGTAAAAATATTATTTTATACTACAAATATTAAAATAAGTTATTTTTGTCAGGCTGTTTGGTAACACTGGTTATTGTGCGGCGTGCAACAAAGTGATCCCCGCCTTCGAGATGGTGATGCGCGCCCGTAGCAACGTCTACCACTTAGAATGCTTTGCCTGCCAGCAGTGCAACCATAGGTTTGTATAAAAAAATCTTTTATATTAATTAATAGCCGTGGTAGCTTAAAGTTGAAAACCTGTCTTATTTAAAAAAAAAACAGTTAATTACAGCCTATATACGTCCCATTGCTGCGCACAGGCCTTCTCTAATTTCTGAGGGGGTTTAGGACAGGGAAATGTCCGCCGCGCTGTCCCAATGCCTGTTGGCGAACTTTACATGTCTTCGAAATATATTATTTTCTTATTTCTCAGACATGCAGGTTTGCTTACGATGTTTTCCTTCATCGCCGAGCACGGGGTAAATGCCTTACCACGTGCTCGGCGTGCGGTCCGTACCTTATTTTACTTAATAAAAAGTTATTCCCTGTAAATTTCTACATTACCTGCATCAAAAACGAGTTTGATTAGCTTTGTCGTTACAGCCTACCACATGTCTGCTGCTGAACATATGCCTCTTGCATAGATTGCCACAAAGCATAGCTAAGCAGGTGGCATCTATCAACTGTACGTTTCATAACATCGCTTTTAAAGATCGTCCTAAAGGTCCGCTCCTATGTTTGCTAGTACAAGCCAGCCCACTCATGAAATTAACTTAATATAAAAGCACATCAGTACGTTTACCACTATCGTTACAGCCTATTAAAATCCACTATAAAGTCCACTGCTGAACACAGGCCTAAAAAGACTTGAATTGCCCCAGATCAAGAGTCCATACCGTAACATGGACGCTACATATCCATGATAGGCTGTGATAGCGGCTTCTTTACTTGTTAAATTACTAAGTCTTATGAGCGCATAAACGAATTTATTTAACTTATCACATATTAAATTTATGTGATTTTTCCAACTATAGTGCTTGGTCAAAGATAAGGCCGAGAAATTTTATACCAGCAACCTTTTCAATTTCTTCGCTATGACTCATTATTTTATAAATTATTACTTTCGAGCCAATTTATGAGAGATATAGATGTGACAGTACTGTTAACCTTGAGTTCATAATCTAAAGGGTTTTCTTTACCTGTTATTATAACTGATATATCGTCGGCACATAGAGTACAATGTTGATCGATTGCCAATGCAAGGTAATTAATATACAAAATAAAAAGTAAAGGACCAAGAATTGTACCCTGTGGCACACCTTTTGTCGTGGGTTGAAAATCAGAGTTATGTGTGACTCGTTGGTTAAATTCATTTATTCTAGCTATTTGAAAGCATTGGGTTCTGTTATTTAAATAGGATTTTATCCACTGTAATGCAAGCCTTCTTATGCCATATTTTTGAATTTTACTCAGCAAAAGCTCATGATGATGCTTTTGCTTAGTAAAATTCAAAAATATGGCATATAGATGATACTGTATACCTGTGTCAAAGTTTTCCGTTATGTGCTGAATTAGCGTGTAAGCTGTTGTTGATTTTTCTTTTTGAAAACCATTTTGTTCCTCCCGTAAAATTTTATATTTATTTAGGAAACTGTTAAGTCTAGTATGCACGGCTTATTTAAATATTTTAGCTAATATTGGGATAAGAGCAATAGGTCTATAGTTATTAACTTCTTTTTGTCGCCTGCTTTATGGATTAATTTAATTACAGAAATTTTAAGTTTGTTTGGAAATATTCCGTATTAAAATGATATGTTAATAATATAAGAAAGAGCTGGAGATATTAAATCAGCACATGACTTTAATATTTTTGTATAAATTCTATCATAACCGACCGAATTTGTATCATTTAGACCTTGTATATATATTTTTTAATTTCTTCAACAGAGCAGGGTTACAAAAATATATTGCTATTTATAAGATTTCAGTTTTTTAATGAAAAAAAAAAATTCGTTTGGATTCGTTTTGTTTGTCAAATTTGTAAAGAAGCTATTAAAGATATTTGCGATTTCTTGGGGATCCTTAATCAATGTTTCGTTGTTATAAATCGAATTTTTTAGGATAGAATAGAATAGAATGATTTTTATTCAATATGGATTATTACATAATACTTATTGAAAGTCATTATTTTATTTACCACCAATTAATGTCTAAATTTCTCCGTAAGTCATTTGAGGACTCTTTGATTAGGTTCTAGGTTGCTATACACTTATTTTTAGCATTATTAATGATATTATTGTTTGCGTTATTTTTGGCTTTAATGATACAAGATTTTAAAATTTTGTTATAAGTCTTGATGTGTATTACTATTATCTTTTTTATTTAAAAAAAATATACACAATAATTTTCATTTTGTGCGACAGGACTTTTTAATTGCTTTTGTAATCCATTTTGTTGTGGAATTGAATTTTTATTATTTTTATTTTTAATGTAGGAAAGGAGAGATTATAAAACATTGTTAAAGTTTCATGAAAGTTATTAAATGCGGAGTTAACATCCTTGTCTTTAATTACATCTTTCCAAGAGATACTGGAAAGGCACTGTCTGAATTTCATAATATGTTCCTTGTTATAATCTCTGATAAATATAAAAAAATGTGGTTTTTGTTTATGGGTCAAAATTGTTGGTACAATTCTAATATATTTGCTGTGTAATGGTTTGATAAATGTAGCGCATGTATTTTGCCTACTGCATTTGTTATATTGTTTACAATATGGTCAAAAATGTTATAGCAGTCTGTAAATATTCTATGATATCAGTGCTCTTAGTCTTTTGGCATTTTTAAGCCTAATCTGTCTTAGGGCTGTAAAAAAGGATATGGTGATTAATATGATGATTAGGTGTTCAACATGTAAGGTGTTTGTGAGTTATCTAATCGCCGTCCAAGCAGAAGTGTACGGTTTAACTTGTATCAGTCGAGGTGGTGAGAACCGCCCAGACACGCATGCCTAAGTACGTGGCGTGAGATGGTGCCCGTCGCACTCGCAGTCTGGTGTCCTATCTGTACTCCCTTTGTGAGGTTAGATGAATGTCTAGTGAATATGTATAGTATCTAGTGTCTAATGAAACCGGGGGTTCGATGAGTAAGTTGCGGAGTCTACTGATACATGGTGTGACGTTTGGAGTCGTGACGTAGTTGGTTGCGTTTGCCACTGGCGGGATAGGCTGGGTTTCAGTAAGATCTACAAAACTTATAATTAAAAGCCTTTATCAGGGTTAAACTTTTTATCAAACAATCTAGCGAAGTTACAGGGTTTGAAAATTGTAAGCTTATGAATATCGTCATCATCATCATCATCATCAAGATCATAATCTCCTTACAAGTTCACTATTGAACATAGGCCACCCCACAGAAACGCCTCGAAACACGGTCCTGATTCACGTGCATCCATGACTTCCTTATGTTTTTACTAGGTCGTCACACTATGTAGTGGAGGGTCGCCCCAAACTCCTAACCAGTACCGAGACTAACCTTTGAGAAACTATCTACCATATCAGTTGTCACTTCTACGAGCAATGTAGCTTAGTTATCTGCTATTAAATACGAATTATTGTAAATATGAAAACCATAGCTGTTTAAACAAAATGGACGCTACAGAATGCCTTTCAATTTTAAAAGGATTTAAACACTTACCTTAACTCACTGGTTTCGCTTAATACTCTCACCTGTCACAAGCGATTGCGTCCGTGAAAATTGAATGGGGACCTTGCTATATCGAATACAAGTCCGTTGTGAAACTTTTCTTCTGAGAGCGGGATAGAATATTGAAGAAAGGTTAAGAGTGAAAGGGACAATCACATGGCGCGATAGGGGTTCATATGGCTTATACTACGCACGGACGACAAACAAAGAGTGCGATTAAATTTTCCGGTACATAAGACGCCCGCATACATAGAATGATTTTATTATTATTTTGAAGATATAGTAACATAGGCTTCATTGTAATATCATATTCACATATTCTAATGTGCACTTTAACAACGTAACGTGAAGCAACTGAAACAATTTATTTCTTATTTCATTTTTAGTACTGATTTACCTTAATTTTAAAGGTAAAATATATTTTTGGGGAAATCTGAAAGATTTAAAGAAGGTTAGTTGAACTCTGTGGCTAAAATTACGAGCATGTTGTCCTACATTAGAATCTTTACAGAATTTTACATTTTTCAATTTTGGCTTAAAGAAATTTACAATAAAGAAAAAGATGACTCGTATTTTGTATAATATCAGTAAGATTTATCTCCCTTATCGCGGAGGCAGTTTACATACATAAATTGTAAAATAACACACATCCAGACTAGGATCAATTATTTGTAGGCCACACATAACTTGTTCCGTGTGGAATTAGAGCCCGCGGCCCCTACAGCGCCGCGACCAATCACTTACCCATTGCGCTACGGGGCAGTCGATGTGTATTTATAAGTCATTCAATACTTATTACTACTTTGTAAACACCGTATACAATTAAGGTATTTAAGCTGTAACAAAAATCTTTTATCATATGCTGAACAAAGAGATAGCGCTATCTTATATTTGTAAAATAAACCATGATATTAATATATATTGTACTAATTTAATTAATACGACTTTATTACTTTGTCGATCTCTCATTTATGTCAGCGTTCCTATTTTTTTTATCAAAACAAGGAATTGCAACATGTTTGGTTACATCTTGGGCACAATCTTCACCGGACTTGGTTCGCTTAAATAATAGAGAAGTCGCGAAGATTGGAGTCGCTCTGAATGGTTTATACGTCACTTGTGTACCTTTCTAGTGTTGGCACCGCTCGCACGACAGTTTTACCCAATTGTATTTTCATTTGATATTCATTTGAGTGCTCTTTGAGTACGGCTTGTGTGTGTTAGATTTCTTTTACGAAACGTTTAACGTGGTATGAGCGGAAAGTCCCTAGAATATTCTACGAAAGAGACATAGACAACTTACATTGTATTTTAAGCTATTATTAACATTTAAAGATCTTTACGTAAATTGGAAGAAAAGGGAGTGTAATTTGAGGCATACACAGTTTGAGGTAGACACTATAATTACAGGATGGGAGGTGTTTCATCTTAATTCTCATGGCTGGCAGCGCATCTGAGGCTTTCTTTGTTTCAAGTTAGTTGCAGGTGTCAATGGG